AATTTCTTAGCACAGATACTAAAGATAGGATAGAGACAATACTTATAAAATGTAAAGGCAATTCACTACATGAATATAATGATAGTAATGACCCATTTCACTCATTTATCAATTTTGATTTATCTAGAGAAAGATTTGATAAAATTGAACCCAAGCTTATACCTAAAGAGATACAGAATTTACTTTGTCATATCTTTAAAGAAGTGTGTCTAGAAATATACTCAGATTAGACCTAAAGTAATATAGATATGCTAGTATAAAGTGTTAGATATATTTATAAAAATTTGTTACTATTAATTTCTTAGTGACAAAAAAAATCATAGTGACAGCTCTGATAAGCTATTTTTTTATTTTTAGAAGGCTGGAGTTCTAATTGGGTAAGTGTCACTATATCACTATGAGTACCTAAGAAAAATCAAACTTCTTTACTTTTTTTCTCTTTTTTATCTATAGTATATATCATATATATTATATATATATATAGTATATATTATAGGTATTAAAAGTATATATAGTATATATTATAGATATACCATAGAAAAAGTTTTATTTTTTTTTTAGAATTTTATTTTTTATAGTAACAATAGTGACAAATATAAGAAACTAATCAAAAAGAAAATAAAATAATTTAAAAATCTCGAGAACATATATAAAAGTATTACTATGAAGTGTCACTATGAGATTTTTTTCATGATAACAGAATTTTTCATAGTGACAAAAAATTTGGCATACTTTAATAGGTCAAGGTAAGTAAATATATATTTTGCTACTAGGGTAACTAGAGACAAAGTAAGTTGATAACATATACTGATAGCATATGTATAGCGTATCTAGATAATATTTATCTGATAGCATATCTGATAGCAATAAATGATAATATACCTAATAGCATTAATCAATAGCAATTACGTGATATAGGTTGCATACATATTTGATAGTATATACTGACTCAATGATAGAAATTAGCCCTGACAACTCATCTGCAGACTATGATTAATACAAAACCATCAACTCATTTGCAAACTATGATCAATATATCTAATAGTTAATATATGACCCAATGACAAAAATCAGTCTCGATCACTAAACTGGCATATGATATATTGTATGTGGCTTAATATCAAAAATCAGTTATAATTACTAAACTAGTATATAATAGCTGATGCTATTAGTAAACTATGATCTGATAACATCACAAAAACTATTTTAGTCATATTACAGTTCATAGTATGTAGAAACCCATTAGTAAACTATGATCTGTTAGTATCACAAAAATCATTTCAGTCATATAATAGTTTATAATCTAAGCTAAGTCAGTTTATAGTATATATATACTATGAACTGACTTCTACTCTAACAAAAAAAAGAAACAAGAAAATGCCTTCTATAATTGACTAACTTGAGCCTTATAATATCTCTCAAGATTTATTGCATAGACAAGCTTAGGCAATCTATGAACAATTACTCTAATATTCAAACTAACAAAAGAAACTTGCTCAGACTATGAGAAGAAAAAAAGTATCTATTTCTGAGGCAAACTATATAGAATTAGAATCTCAAAAAAAAACTGTAGCTATGCATTATTATGTTAATATCAAAGAACAACTAGTAATTGCTATTTTTAATTCAGGAGCTGCTGTTAGTATAATTACTGCTAAGCTAATAAAGAAACTAGGACTAAGAATTGACAGAAATTCTAAAACAATTATGTTATAGCTAATAAAAATAGAGAAAAAGCTCTAGAAACAATACTTAATATGAAAATTAATCTCTAAAACATTGCAATTCTTATAGATTTGTAAGTAATTAAGTTAAAAGATAAAACTTTCTTACTAGGAACTGACTAGTTTACTAAAGATAGAGCTAATCTAGACTTTGATAACTATATCCTAAAGATTCAATATCTTGGTAAATGAGCTACTATTT